GACTGAGAAACAAACCAGTAACCTTTTGGTGCATGGGACACTGCTCAACCAACTGAGCAACACCAGCCAGGTTTGACCTCTCTATTCTATTTCATTGGTTTAAAAAAGTCTGTCTTAATGCCAATACCACAGTTTTAATTATTGTAGCTTTTTAATAAGTTTGATATCAGGGAGAGAGAGTCCTCCTACTTTATTGCTCCTTTTCAATATTGTTTTGGCTATTTGGGGTCCCTTGAGATTTTCTATAAATTTTAGAATAAAATTTTCTATTTCTGCAAAAGGATGTTGCTATGTGTATTTTGATAGGACTGCATTACATCTGTAGATTACTTTGAGTAGTAATGACATTTTCATAATTAAATTTTCCAATCCATAAACCTGGGATGGATTTCCATTTAATTAAGTCTTTCATTTCTTTCAGCAATGTTTGGTAGTTTTCAGTGTACAAGTCTTTCACCTCCTTGATCAAGATAATGACTAAGAATTTTATTCTTTTAAATGCTATTGTTAATGTATAGAAACACAACTGCATGTTGATCAAATGCATGTTGATTATGTATCTTAAGCTTGGCTGAATATAATTCTTAGTTCTAATGGGCTGTGTGTGTATAATCTTTAGGGTTTTTGTTACATAGAAGATTAAGTCAAACAGGAATAAATTCAATTCTTTCTTCCCAATTTGGAATTTCATTAATTAACTAATTAATTAATTTTTGCCTAATGCTCCAACTACAACTTCCAATAGCTTTTTTTTTTAAGTGGCAAAAATTGGCATCCTGGTCTTGTTCCTATTTTAGAGAAAGAGCATTCAGTCTTTCACCATTGAGTATGATATTTGCTGTGTGTTTTTTAATATAAGGCCTTTATTATGTTAAGGTAGTTTCCTTCTATTTCAGATTAAGTGTTAACATGAATGCATGCTGAATTTTGTAAAATAATTTTTTTTGTATCAACTGAGCTACTCAGTGTTTTTAATCCTTTATTTTGTTAGTGTGGTATATTGATTGTTTTGTTTTGTGTGTTTTTTTTGTATGAAGAACTATTCTTGCATTCTAGATATAAATCCCACTTCATCATGGTGCATAATTCTCTCAATATGCTGCTGAATTTGGTTTGCTAGTATATTGTTGAATATTTTTGCATCAATGTTCATAAGGAATATTGGTCGGTTGTTTTCTTGAAGTTTTTTTGTCTTTCCTTGGTATAGGGTAGTGCTGCCCTCATAGAATTAGTTAGGAAGTGTTCCCTTCTCTTCAATTTTTTTTGAAGAGTTTGAGAAGGATTGGTATCCATTATTTCTTAATGTTTGGTAGACTTATTAGTGAAGCCATTGGATACAGGCATTTTATTTGTAGGTAGGTTTTTGATTACTGATTCAGTCTTCTTATTAGTTACAGATCTATTTGGATTTTCTATTCCTTTGTGATTCAATCTACTAGGCTTTGTGTTTATAGGAATTTGTCCATTTCATCTAGATTATCCAATTTTGTTGATCTTTTTAAAGAAACAATATTTGATTTAGTTAATTTTTCTTTATTGCCTTTTCCATTTGCTGTTTTATTTATTTCTGCTTTAATCTTTATTATTTTCTTTTTTCTTCTAGTTTTGGGTTTTGTTCATTCTTCTTTCTTTAGTTCCTTAAGCTATAATGTTAGGTGGTTGTTTTGAGACTTTTCTTTTTAAATGTAAGCATTTACCGCTATAACTTTCCTTATCACTTAAGTTTTGTTAGGAATCATGGAGGCAGAAAACAGTGAAACTTTTTTTTTAATGTGCTGAAAAAAAAAAAGAGCTGTCAATCCAGAATACTACATCTAGTGACAATATCCTTTAGGAATAAAGGTAAAACAAAGGCATTTTCAGATGAAAGAAAGCTATTAGAAGGTATTTCCAACAGACTTGTTTAAGAACTAGAACACCCAACCAATAAAAATACAACAACAGTGATTAACACTTAAATAAGACTTATAAATCAGTTGTTGTTTTAAATACTTTACATGGACTCATTCACTTAATTCAAGAACACTGGTACTATTAACATCCTCATTATACAGATAAGAAAACAAAACAGATGTTAAGTAGCTAGTAAGTAGTAGAGCCCGAAGAGAACCCAAGCCAGCCATCTGCCTTCAAAGATGATTCTCTTAACTAATACGTACTTGATACTATCTTCCAACTTTCTTGTACAGAAAACCTGTAGTATATCAAGTAATCAAATAGATAAAAATAATTTGGAACAGATTTGGTGATTCTGAAAGGTATTTTTATTTAATTCTGCTCTCTAGAGACAAAAACAGAAATGCAAGGCACCAACTTGATAGATACCTTGAAAAAAATTCTATTAGAATTAGGATGTATTGATTTATCAGTAAAAATAACCTTAACAATAAATATTTTTTTGAGTACTTACTATGTGTTAAAAGTTGTTTTGCAGGGTGAGGATGTAAAAATGAATAAGACAAAGCTCCTGTTCTTGAGAGTTTTATACAAATTAGGTAATACAGACAAGAAAGTACAGTAGGTCCTCGGGCTACGTCGGAGATCCGTTCCTACGGATGTAACGTGATTTTCGCCGTAAGTTGGAACCCACCTACATAAGCACCTACATCACTCACATGGAGCACATACATAGCAGTAATGAAGTGAAACAGTAAAAAATATTAAAAAGAAAGATAACAATCCCTGACCTTTACTTGTGGTAAATAAATAATAAAAAACATAAAGCACATATGAACATACGTCGAAATGACGGAACATTTTTTTTTTTTTACAAATAAATGGGAGATGGCGATGTAACCATGAAACAACGTACGTCGAGTCTGATGTAACCCGAGGACTGTTTGTAAATAATTACAATATAGCATGTGTTATAATAGAATTATATGCAAAGTCCAAAGTACATACAAGGTAAAAATGCTATCAAAAGGAAGCATCAATCTAATTATGGCTGTTTTAAAAATAGGAATTAAAAAAGGCTTTAAAAAGCACCAAAAATGAACATTCATGGGAATATTCTACAATTTCCTTTTCCACTCATGTAGAACTGTTTCAAATCTATTAACTGTTTCAAATCTGTGGAAATTCTCAGTTAAGCCGGCAATGAACAGAAAGAAAAGTCAGAAGAATCTGTTACCCTGATGTGTATATATTTTAATTTTCAAAGTCCACAGCATAATGATGATGACCTTATATAAAGTACTTAGAATCAGCTCCTGTTGATTAGTTATCCACTTACTCAGCAGTCCGGTGCTCAGTCCAGTGGATTCAACAGATGGAAAAGGAATTAATCCAGAAAAATCTTTCAATAAGACAAAAAGTAATATTTCTATACTGGATCAAGAAATCTATAGTCAATTTTAAGGATTACCTTAACAGTTGCAAAGAACAAGTTCTCCAGGTTAACTGTGGGATCATTAAGGACAAGGCCTTACATATTTTTTTCTATTCTTAGTATCCCTAATGGTTAATATGGGCCTGTCAAATAGAGTATTACTATGCCTGCCAAAATAGAATTTACATTAGAAAAGAATTAAGAAGAGATGAAGTTTAATTCTTTAACTATATTCCTTTTATTCCAAGAAAGAGTTATTTTATGTTCACAGATAACTATACTTAATTCCATAGAGAAAAGGGATCAAATGTGACTCTAGACCTCATATCTATAGTAATATAAGTAAAGGCTAAAAAAAAAAAATCCCCAAAAGAATAAAAGAGTTAATATAAGTTCTTTAAAGATCAGCATGGTCTTTTAAGTTTAAAATCTCTATCATTCTACTTTAATTCTATTTTTGCTCTTACTAAAATATTCCCATATAGTACTTGTGATAGCAAAGGGAATACAGTATCTAATGACCCATTCATATTTCCTTTTAGTTATTTTCAAGTGGCTTCTCTTCATGGGATATAAACTTAGTTGAAGTAAAAGAAAGGGCATTGTAACTCACATTCTAAGCATTAAATGCATATATTTACTTATATATTCATATTGCACATAGGGTCAATAAATGGCTATAAATGATTGTGATATGCTTATATTATAAAGTTGCTGTGTATTTTTAGGTTGCTCTGAGATCAACTGTCTATTTAATCAAATCATTAAATCGACAGACTCTCACTAATTTATACTTCTGTCTTTAACTTAAATGATATGTTATATGTTGTCCTCATTAAAGGAGATTTTAATCTAAGAGTTGCTAAAATAATAAATAAATAAACCATTGATCAGTGATGGCGAACCTTTTGAGCTCGGCGTGTCAGCATTTTGAAAAACCCTAACTTAACTCTGGTGCCATGTCACATATAGAAAGTTTTGATATTTGCAACCATAGTAAAACAAAGACTTATAATTTTGATATTTATTTCATATATTTAAATGCCATTTAACAAAGAAAAATCAACCCAAAAAATGAGTTCGTGTGTCACCTCTGACACGCGTGTCATAGGTTCGCCATCACTGCAGTAGCTTGAGATGGATGTCAACATCTATGTCAACAAAAGCATAGTTTTAAATACACTTATTTAATAAAATGATAATATATTATTAATTGAGCTTTTTTTCATGACCAGATATCAATATATCTAATTACAAATTGGAATAAAAGTTAGTAACTTGTGAGAACAACTTAATTTTATAAATTCTACTGTTTCGTTTTATCAAATTAGTATTTGAATGCAATTAATGAATATTAATTAATGATTGCAGATAATCACAAAAAAGAATAGTTTTACATCTTAATAAACTGGACTCTTCTCTGTGTTAGGATTGACAACTTTTAGCAGTAATATAGTATTTTCTAAAACTTTAAATATGCAAAAAGAAAAATCTTGAAAGAAACTAATGTCCAATATTTGACTGGACAGGAAACTAAGACTTTTAATTCTCGGGAACATATGGGGCAAACTTAATTGTTATAACTCAAGTTTCCTGGGTTTATCAGTCTATTGTAGTGATTAATAGTATGGAATTAATTTTATTTGCAACATTTTGGTGACTTTCTTACCTAGAGAGCATGCCCAGAGGTGTAACATTAAGTGATCCCATCAGCATTGCCAGGGCCATCCCTGGTGCTTCCCGTTCTATTACTTCTTTTGTGGCCTGTAATTAAAGATTAAATAGCAGACTGAGTGAAACTAGCCAAAAAGAAGCAATGCAGAGTAGTAAAATTAACTTCAATGTAAGTATAAACCATACTTTTCCTAAACCACACTTTGTAGTTCTTCAGACTTTTTTTTTTAAGGCAGCAAGACTCAGTTCTTTGGGACCACTGAATAAAAGCCGAGGACCAGGATATCCAGGGAACTTTTACATTAGCAGACCTTTCTCATATCTTACAATTCTGAAGTATTTGATAAAAGCCTCATCTCGCCTAATAACCTAAATTTTAAGAGAAAGTCCCAGATTGCTATAAGGGCTCAATAGATTTCTAAGGGTAAGAAATTTGGGTAAATTTATTTTTGTCTATTACTCTTAAAATAATTAGTCCCTCCCTAAAACCCTGCGATCATTTTGTATCTCTCCTAGCTCTGTACTTTTATGATATAATTAAAAGGAACTCAAGAAGTCAACAGTCAACTTTTCCCATGTATTGGGTAGAAAAAAACCGTCTAGGTTCCATATCTTCAATATGAATTACCATCTACTTTAAAAAGAATAAAAGTGATAGGCTTTATTTATATAACAAGTTTTAAGATAGAACATTTTTAAGACAAGTGTGTTTAAACCTGGAATAAGCTAATGAAGGAGACAGGAATATTTCATTTTCTAAAGGTAAATCAAATTAGGTACATATTATTCTGTGATGGTAAAGATATGACTTAGGTTAAAACTTGAGAGTGAAATATATGATTTAATTAACTCCTAATCCTCTGTTTTTATAATATAGTTTATAATACTTGGGGGCAGTACAAAAGTGAAATTTGCAAAACAAAGTGTTCTAATAAATACGAAAAATGCAAATGAAATAAAAAGTAAATTATGGAGAAAGGTTTATATTTCAATATTTCATTAGAAATAGAGAGATATTCTTAGATTGTAGCTCTGGGAAAAATGTAGAATGAGGACTGGGCAAAGCAGTTAATATGCACCGAGTATGTGTTAGAAATATCAGTCAACTTTTAAGATTGTTAGTTAATCCCTTATAACTATACAGAATAAAGGATGACTAGAATTGATGTCATCTACTGGTCTACTGAATCCCAGCATAATTCAATACTTTACAATGGCAGACATTTAAAGGAAACTAATATACCAAAATTTATTTTTCAATGAATTGTGCTTTAAAAATAGAGGGTCAACAGGAGAAAGGAAATTCTTAAATTCCTAAATTTAGAAGTTAATTACTTTCATTTAAATGTATAGCTAAAAATTGTCAAGCTAGGATTATCTGAATCTATCTTCTGTTTTCCAAATTCAATCTGTCTGGTATGATTTTGAGGTCTCTTGAGAAGAAACACTATTTCCATGTTATAAGGATGTATTCCAAAGTACAGTAGCATAGTTTATTTAAAGATAAAGAAAATATCAATGTGTAGCTGAGAGAAGTCTTTCATTTAAACGAATACTTTAAAGCACAGCACTTATCCATCTGCACATTAGTTATTAAACACCTATGTACTAGGTTGTATTCTATGCATTGATGTTGCATTAATGAAAACAAACTTATAAGAGTTTGTGTAAACTCACTGTTACCTGGTACATAAAAAACTCAATTGGCAAATTATATTTGAGAATTACCTAAAATATATGCAATTCATTAAATTTTCTACATACTCTTAAAATATGCAATTGAATTTGGTCAGATCACAGTGGTTTACCTTGATTGGCTCATCTCACTTTTCAAAGAATCGTTTTACTGGACTTTGTTTTTATGGCATGCAATTGAAGCCAATGAAATGGCTCAGTGCGACTCATACTTACATCACAAAGTATCTGAGGCCACTGTTCACTACATTGCATTGTGATCCTATTTAAGAGAATCCATAGGAAAATTTCCTCTTAGTGTCACAACTAAGAATGGGTCTTTTTCTGTGCTACTAGTTTGTTTTTAAATTATGATGTTTGTGAATTAAGTTATCCTTTAGAAAAGAGGAAAATTTGTGGATATTGTTTTAGTATGCTTCCTGAACACAACCGAATTGCATCTTATTGTTCCTTGCCCTATTTTTTCACATTTATCTTGTTAGAAGTTGTGTTCTATGTGTTTGGATAAACCATCTTAATTATTTTTAGTGTATTAATAAATATATGGATGATAGATGGATAGATTAATGAATTTTTTATACAAAGGTCTTCATCTTTTTCCAAACATAATTTAGGGAGGACAGTTAATTCTTTCTGAAGACTTTTTAGAGCAGTGGTTCTCAACCTTCATAATGCCGCGATCATTTAATACAGTTCCTCATGTTATGGTGACCCCCAATTTCATTGTTACAAATTGAACATAATTAAAGCATAGTGATTAATCACAAAATAATATGTAATTATATATGTGTTTTCCAATGGTCTTAGGCGACCCCTGTGAAAGGGTCGTTTGACCCCCAAAGAGGTCGTGACCCACAGGTTGAGAACTGCTGTTTTAGAGAATTTGGGCTTATAGACACAATTTTTGTATACCGTATTTGCCGGCGTATAAGACGATTCTTTGGCCCTGAAAAATATGCCTCCAAGTGGGGGGTCGTCTTATATGGCAGGGACACTTCAGAGAA